CAGGAAATTACTATTATTGAAGTTAGCATAGCAGGAACTACGCGCGAAGTTAATTAATTTAAGATACTCGCTTGTTAAAGTAATACTTTTTTTCATTATTTATGTTTCGATTGAAATAAATTTAATAAAACTTCAAACGATAATAATGCGCAATTATTTCAGCATCGAGGATTACTATGAATGAAGTACAATGTCTAGATCAGTGAACATCCACATTAAATATTTCACGGTATAGATAAAACAAGCGAAGTAGAAAAATATGAAAGCAATTGTGCAAAAGGCGGAATAATAGTACTATATTTCATTCGTTAAACTGAATGAAGAGCTTTACGTTCGAATTGATGTGGTTTTATATCGTCCAACAATACTTTTAGTTATTATTGAATGTGTTATTTTTATTCCTCGCGCATGATAATCGTCAGAATAGGAAGAAAACTTATTCTTATTTATGATGTGTTTTATGGCCGATTTTAAAAACACTCTATATAATAGAATTATACATATGAAATTAATTTAAATTTCATAGTAACCAAACAATGGATGCATTCACGTGATGACATTTCATATTTCCGTGTTGTTGATACATTTCCAAAGTTGCCGAAATGCACGATGTTATGCATACAACAGATTCAGAGCTGAAATTTCACCCGCTGTAATATAATTAAACTTTACGTTTAAAGCTCCCCAGAAAGTTTTAGGGAACGAAATTTCTCCCAACATTTTAAAAAAAATTATCCGCGGTCATCCTCTTTAAGTATAAAGTTCTAATTGCTCTCTAAAGTCTATCTACATTTTACAGTGGTAAACAAACGCATATACACGGAGTATTCCTTTGTGTTCGCGAGACCAAACGGCGACTTTAATATTGATATTTGCGATGATGGCGGCGCCGGTTAGCTTTCAAAATACCGACCCTATTAAGTAGAACTGTTTGGAACGTAGGTAATTTCCGAAAGTTGGGGTCGTTTATAAGCGTTGCACGTCATTTTTCTCTTCCCCCAATGATGAGAACCGCGCCGAGAGAAGCCACTTCAGTAATTACAAGCAATCTCGTTTCAACTCTGAAGTATGTGTGCCGTTTCCCTTTCAAAATAAAATGACCAGCTAACGAGTGGTCTCATAAAAGCGATTAATGCCCGTTTCAGGAACAATGATATTTTTTTTAAAAACATAAAGTTTAATGCATTTTAAAAGGTAACAAAGAAAAATTTATTTACACTCGAACTACAGTTTGCTTGCACATATGGGAAGTTGTTAAATCCCTAGATACATGTTCTCTACGATTTACGGTTCGGTAACTTTTAGTGGAAGTGTATTTCGTCCATTACAACTCCTTAACGACGGGTTTTTCCCTTTTTCTTTAGTCATGGAGAAGCAAATGTATCCAAGGCATAAATAAAGTAGTGTGAATAAAGCGAAAAAGAACTTGGGTGACAAGGGTTGGCAGCTGTTTGGGGTACGCTAATAGGTTGCGTGATGTTCACAATGAACGGGAAATGTATGGGGTGAATTCGCCGAAATTTAAGCAAACGCTTTTTATATCGAACTTTGTCCTTTCCGTTGACGTCTATTCATTTCCGTACGTAAACTTTTCTTATTTCAAAAAATACACACATTCTTTCATCTCGTAGAAAACTTTCTTCTTAATAATAATTCTCTCTGTATTATATTATTTATATTAGGATTTATTATTTTATATATTACGCAGATTTTATATGGTTTGTTTTTTATGCCTGTTAGTACCTGTCGACGCACACAAAGAAGAGTATGAAACGGCATAAGCTCTTTGCGAATTTAATTCTCAGCCGGATTCCATTTCCCAAACCAGAAGACGGGGTGATTAAAGTTTGTTCATAAAACGATTACATTTCAAAGTGAACTGAAAGGAACACACTCCATCTCTTTCCATGAGTCTTTGAATAAAAACTAAATGCAGCACTTCTTTAATTGCAAAATACTTTACGATTAAGTTACAAAATGTTTGTTATATAATAAAGTTCTAATAAATCGCTAGTTTATTTTAATATAAGCTGTGAAAAAAAAAATGAGCTGCTATGTCAAATTAAACTTTACCAGTAACATGAAAAACCTGTATAAGAATATGTATTAACAAAAATCATCCCGCTCAGCATCATAATCCCGCTCTAGCCACGCACAGTGAGTTAATTAAAAATATTAAGATGGACTGATGAGGCAAAGTTGCGAGTTTCACCGAATTGCTTAAATATTCGCCAACGTTAGCAGGTTGATAAGTATCGCTGTAATTTAAAGTAAAATATAACGCGTTTGCAAATAAGACGAGATGATAATATTTCACACTTGCATTCATTAGATTTTATTATTATTAAAGATTCAGAGTAATATCCTAGTGTTTGGTAAAAATGAACCCAGTATAGAGGAACCCTAACTACTACTTATTCTATAGCACGCCTTTCGTGTTCCTTCATTATAGGTATTGGTAAATCAATTGGATTAAATTGCACTGATAGGCTAACAACCTTTACAAAGAATCTATAGCAGATAATTTCACTTAGAATAAATTGCTTGAAATATACTTTAAACAATCTCTATATCTATAATAAAATCGAGCTATTTACTTTTTATTTAATTGAGTACGTTATTTGAAATGTGTAGAGAACTGATTACCTTTAAAGCTTAGCAACTTAACGCTACATTCGTTTTCAAAACTTTTCTTAAGCGTTCTTTTCGTTGATAAGACGAAAACAGTTTCGACTGGTGAGAAGAGCTTTAATTGAAATACTAATTCGGTTTCTTTGTCGATGCGGCGTTAGGTCAGTTTGGCGTGTCTTCTTGGTTCGGTGTGGCGTTGAAACTGCAATATCCTTTTCGTACGGTTGTATGTGAAAGTCCCGAGCTACGAGATTACTGCTCACGTAACCGCGTACTGGAAAATTGAGACCCGTTATAGGAGTTCTCGCTCTACCAGGTTACATTGAGCCTTCGTAAACGGCCACCTCGAATGAAATCCAGAAAATTTTTAGCTTTTCACAGAAAATTCCTCTCTTTAGACAACTACCAAATCTAAATTATCATCTAACTACAAATTTTGCTATAAATAATGTGATTGGTATGTATGGAGTGCGTATTCCCATAGGACTCAATTAGCGAGAACCCTAGTAAATTTTGCATTAATCATGACCATCGTAAAGACCCCATCTGCTATTTTTCACGGCTATATTAATTAGTAATAGTAAATAGGGCACAGTGGGAACGTGACATCAAAGACCCGGAGAGTGTTTAATCCCTCGGGATATAATTAGAACACATTCTAAAGAAGGATCATCGCACCAACGTAACTTCTATGGAATTAATAGGCAGCATCCCCTTCAACACATTCGAACGGTAAGTTACATTAAGAAAACGTACATTTTAAAAGTTACATTCTATAAACTCTACTTGTTCCGGCCCATAATCTGCAATGGCCTGTTAGTTTGGGGAAGTTGTACAAGTTGCGAAAGGGTATTTCGGCCACGAGACGGCGCCCAACATAAGAATAATTGGTAACATTAAGTGTAGAAACGGCTGCAGTTAATTCATTAACTTGGAAATATTAGCCATTTCGTCGTCAGTTGGCTTGCAGAGTTGGTGTTTAAGAAAAGATTAATATTTACTGCGTGAACGTAGTTTATTAACAAAGGAAATAATACTAATTATATATATAATTCATTTGTAACTATTCAAATTATTGGATATTTTACACCGTTTATTGGTTGTGTTTGCATGAGATTTATTCCTATTTAGAGTATAATTAATTTTAGTTTAATAAAGATACAATTCAACGTTACATTAAATTATCAACTTAACCTATTATTGTGAATATTATTTGCTCGATTAAATATTGCTAGATATTACGTTACCAACATTTTCGAGTATTGTAATTATTCAATTTATAATTAATTATCCAATAGCGATATCTTTTATCATCGTAATGGTTTTTGAGATACAGTAAAACCTAAATATAACGGATTAACTAACGAATTAATATTATATATTTAATGCATCGCTATATTTAAATATACCTAAATGTTTGGGTTATTCCCCTAACTGCTCTGTTCAAGGTCCATAGATAAACTCAGGATATAATTCTAATAATTCTAATGCTAGTGTTATATATTTTTTATTGAACTAAAATTAGAACTAACACTAAACCTAGAACTAGAAACATTCGGGTTTAGCCGTGTTAAGAGACGTGCGGGTAAACCCGAATGTTTCTAGTTCTAAGTCTAGTATTAGTTCTAGTGCTAGTGTTAGCTCTACTTTTAATACTTATTTAGAGCTATATTGCTGTATATTTTTATTGAACTAAAAGTAGTCAAATAATAAACAAGAAATTGTAGAAGATTTAATAAAAGTTGATACTTGTGTTATTTCATCCGATTAATAAAGATTGATTTATAGCGGTTTACAACATCACTCATTACAATAAACGTGGTTAATTTCGTGTCGTTTAAACGCGATCACAGAGTAAAGCCGTAAACGGATTGTAAATAAACTATTTTTTAACGGGTGTCATGAATATCAAAAAGCATGTTTTAACGAGAACCGTAGGGCAATTCGGGTTCCCGTACGCTACTATCGGATTTAATTGGCCAGCACGTGAATCGTATGTGGTAATGCACTGTAAAGGAGTAGTTGGGGGAAACGTAAAGTGTGCGGTGAAGTTTGATGAGTACTAATCCGAAAAAAACAGGCATTTTTACGGTTTCGCGTGCACTAAATGGTGCAGTAAAGCGTGCCCTTTGTGACTATGACTCACAACGGGCCAATCTACGAAACCAAGTCTGTGTTTAAAGGTGCTTTATTCTTGAGAATGTGGCAGTGATTTCCTTCGTTACAGTTTAAAACGTTTAATTAAGAGAACTTTAAGATTTAAATCTCTTTGAAGAAAATGTTGAAATATTTTAAATTATTTCTAAAGAAGTTTTATATTTGAAGTTTTCTTATATAAGTGTTAAATTGAAGAAAAGTGGTACACTTACCGAGTACTTCAACTGTATGGGTAATTTCTCTAGGCTCCAAAGTCCCGATTTGGCAAACGTAGTCGCCAGCGTCCGCTGGTTCGACCCCTTTGATCTCCAAACTATATCCGTTGACGAGACTTATCCGCGGATCCGGTGAAACCTTCACGTTCCCAGCTGATAGAACTGCAGTTCCCTTTTTCCACGCCAATATATAGTGACCTGAAACGATGTATCAAATGGATTAACCAAGAGACAAGTAAAGAAAATCAGCTAAATCAAAAGTAACAAGAAATCTTAGTTTTAAATCCATCGTCTTAAATTCCTCGTGAGCGTAAAAAAAGAAATTAATTCAAATTAAATGGGCAAATAAGGTTTCCCACACACTATCATAATACATAGATTAATGATTACATTTGTCACGGTTTTGTATACGCTAATTTACGATGGTTAATAATGACATTTAATGGTCGCATCAATCACGTAATGCGTGATAACACTACACGTAAATATTTATTGTAAAATCGTTAGGATAACGCCACCGTAATATTTTCTGTAATGTTATTACACTAATTTGTTTACGTGTTTTCTAATGGTATTACTGATTACGCAAACAGCTTTCAATACACCTCAATTCGTAAAACAGAGGTTTTATTTTAATTAAAATAGAGAATTTTATTTGTACCGTAACAAAAAAGCTTCATGTGTCGCTTGTACTAAACTCACTATCTTATGTTTTGTCGTAAAAGTCCAGTTTCTCGTGTAAAAGGGTCCCAACAATAAGAAGCGTTCGTTTTGGGCCATTTCATTTTCTCTACTTGTAAGAAAATTGCAATAGTAAAAGCTGAATTTTATAATCGTTTCAAAACACTATCTTACATTTTAAACATCATCACGTTAGACTTTGATTATTAATAGAACCGAATTGTATTGTGTGTAGTAAGCAGTTCTTCATTGTAGATTAGGTATTTCTGCTTTTGAGATGCTAAACTTTTTAAAAATGAATTCAAATAGATATCTAATTCAGACTTCATTCAGACATCACCGATTATCAAGATGATTTAGTTTGTTTGGTGTCAACAATAAGAATTCGTTCGTTTTGGACCATTTCATTTTCTCTACTTGTAAAAGAATTGTAATAGTAAAAGCTGAGTTTTATAATCGGTTCAAAACACTATCTTACATTTTAAACACCATCACGTTGTAATTTGATTATTGCTCAACATTTTGAACGAGTAAAGGAAAAGATGGTTCGTTGGCCTGGGATTCGTTACAAAATAAAAGTTAAATAAAACTAATTGGATGTACCCAACTCCGGATATCAAATTAAATCAATACGTATCTTTAGACGAATTGCATTCGTCCGATTTCATTTCGGGTCGCTGAAACTCCAGGCGCGGTTTATGCTTTTGCGATCGCCCGCATTTTTATTTCGATTCTCTATACTTTTCTTCTCTTTTCCCCCTTGAACCCCACGGGTAGAGAAAATATGACGTTTCAGCGAGATTTCGTCGCGGAGATTCGTTCAAATATTTGCATATCCAAGTATTCTTAATCCGGACCCCAGGTCTTCGGCAGTTCCGTCGTTCATGTTTTGATTATTTTCTCGTTTTCAAAAGATAAAACGACCTTTAATAATACCTTTAAATACGAAGGGAATGTTTAACTGTTTTAATCTTATTAATAAATACCTGTAAAATAAAACCTGTCTAGAGTGGAGAATGATATTGTTGCAAGATTGTTAATTAATATAAATATTTGAGACTATGTTTAATATTTTTCTTGTTTTATTCAATAATGATGATGTTAAAGTAAACTAAGAAATGGAATTAATGATTTAATTAATATTCATGTTGGAAACAGATGGTAAACGTTAAAGAAGGCGGTTTTTTAACCTGAGAACGAAAATGCTTCACATCCTCTTTGTACCCTTTTGACCTTTTCTACTTTCAACCTTCTGCTCTTGTGGCACTTTACAAGTATTTTATCGTACGGTAAATGTAAATTCTAAGGAGTTCTTATTAATGTTTCTCGTCGGTAAATGGATTTTAAGCAGTCTATGAAGGTGTTGATTTCTTTACCTTTTGTTCCCCATAGTCTTATTGCCTCATGCAATGACAGAGTATAAACATTCGGACAGCGACAAGACGAATGGTTTTTATTTTCACACCTGATTATACATACTGATTGTATTTGTTGAAAGAGTCTCATCTGATACGCCAACATCATCGAATTCCTTTCAATTCTGATACCTTCTTGAATCGTTAAGAACCCACCAGGGAGTCTCATGAATTTGTCGATATGAAGGGTGTTTTGAAATGTATAATAGCATAGTATAAAGTCTCTTTGCTTCTTGGAATTGGTATCATCTTAAGGTAAATACTGAATCTGGTTTGAAGAATGAATTAATTCGAGGTACTGGTTTTAGAATTATTCTATACTTGGTGATAAATTCATGATAATGTGTTAGCTAGAATATTGCATTTTTCTGCTACGTGGCATATATGTTGGCAGTTGGCTAATAACATGTGTGGCGGTTGACATTTTGTGATTCAAACTAATGTGCGACCATAAATTGAATAGTGCAATTAAAAATAAAAGAAAGTAAAGCCGTGGTGTGGGAGCAGAAAAGCTTATGATAAAATTATGCTTTTGCGAAAAGCAGTACAAATTGAGTAATTTACACTAAAGTGACTTATCTGATGAAATATTGCAGGAAAGTGTTGGTTATCAAATTGATGCTATATCCCAACATTTAACATGATAAAGTAAAGAGCTGTTAAATAATTCATTAGTTAGCTTATGGTAAGCTGTTTTTAAATTCTTGATTTTGATTATTATATATAAATGGCTAAATGTTAAAGGTCTTAAGTTGTGGCCAGCTTGCATACAAATATACCGATGCACTCAATCATCTCATTACTTCTTCCCCTTAAGCTCGACATATTGTTGCTTGTAGCATTAAACTAAAATAATAATATAAATATTTTCATAACTTATTAATTTTTGCCATAACTTTTGAAACTTCTGTAATTATTATTTAAAAAACTTAATCAAGTCTTGAATGTTCTGTCCAGTTATAATTAAAGTGTACAAAAACGACTTTACTCAATTATCAATGATAAATGTTTTAATACAATTTAAAAAAAAAGTTTTTATGCTGTATCCATGGGATTTATTTATTGACGATTTGCTTCAATTCTCGACAGTTTAATAAACTCGTTGTTATTTCCAATAATTTTATTATTGTATAATGTTTAATTCAGCGTTTTGGCAAATACCACATTTAAGCGTATATTTGCATAGTTCTCCCAGCGGATTATTGATCTACTAAAAATCATTTGTTAATTATTTTAGTTCAATAATAAGTCCAACAAGAACTTTTTGCTAAATTTATTTCACATTATTATTAAAGCAGTTTCAATGTAAACAAAACTATGGAAGGGATTGTTTAATTAGCAATCACCACCGAGCTCAGAATAATAGTAATGACAATACGTAGTAGTATTATGTAGAAGTAGAGGTATATAGTTGGGGTACTCCGCATTAGTTCATAACGTACACGGACAATTAATTTGTATGTGCGGCCCAGAATGTTGGCATAGTCCATTCGCCAATGTTCACAGTCGATCAAAGTTAAACAAAACTAATTGGACGTATCGAATCCGGATATTCAATTAAATCAATACGTACATCCTAAAGCAATTACACTCGGTCTATTTGGTCTCGTCCATCGATTGACCTGAAATGCGGTTTACATGGATATGTCATCACAAAAAAATCTTAAACAGAATATTATTTAAAACTGTGACTCAAGATTCAGAACAAACTCAAAAATTAAAACGATCTCGTATATTTTATTGATACTGCATTTATGTTTTATTTCCAATCCTAAACTGACCGCATTCGTTTCCAACATCCAAGTTTAACCACGTTTAATTTTTGATGATTGTGGCGACGTGCAAAACATGTGGATAAAACATATCGATGCCACAATCAAAATAATTTATTCTAATGTAGAACCTAATCCATTTACCTTACCGAACGCTTGCATATTAAATAATTCAGATTAGTAACGATTTCCGCAACTTCAACATTCCTCTCGCCCCCCTGAACGTGAAGTTGCCTCTCCAAGAGTAAATTGAATTGAATAGCGCCCTACGGTAATTGACTTGAAACATGCAAAGGGTCGCCGTTATTCCCCTTGTCATGTTCGTTGGAGATCAAAGTGCGAACTACAGTGGGGGACGATTAAGTACTCTTAACTTACCAGGATTAGCGATCCTACAGGGCAATAGCACCGTTTCCCTCTCCGTGACCTTGAATGCTTGACTGGGCGTTAGAAACGTTGGCAAAGTCGACGGATCGACCTTCAGACTTGCTCCCGAACAACCTGTAATTAAAGAGGTACGATCAATCATATTGGCCTGACGTTTTCCTGAAAACCAGCACTGACGTTTAAAGTTTTCTTTGAAAAGGATAATATAAAGTGTAAGACGCGATTTTCGAATCGATTAAAAATGTTTTATATAACGATGAAAGGTTTTCATTAAAATATTTTAGATAAAGATTGGTGGTAAAACCTTTTAAGCATTAAGGATACATATTATTAGTTTATATTAGGAAATCAGATAGGTTTCCTCGAAAGCAAAATTAACTACTGGATTAAACTACAAGTAGAAACATATACATAATGGGATAGACGAAATATTGACTTTTCGTGTTCCATTTTCGAGAGGTTGTAACTAATATGCACGCGATTCCCCCTCGCCTCTCCAACCCCCATGGTTACCATCGTTTGTCTGCCGTAATAACGAATTTGAAGCACGATAGTCTACCCAGAGCATGTTTGTCTTTGTAAAATTGTTGGAGACGCCGAACCTTCGTCGAACGCGACTTTAATCACCCAAAGCAAAGGAAACGCCGCAAAGGGAATAGAATATAACTGGGGCGAGCCCGATTACAGTACTTCAGGTATACGACGAAGACGATATTGCAACGCGTATTTCGTTATCAAAACACCATGAATGGATTGCTACGAAATCTTAGTGTGCAAGATACATCCTATTACCATAAGGAGGCCTCATCATTTGAAGTTGTCGTTATTACATGAAATGCGCATACCAAATTGATCCCAAATCTATTGTAAACTATATTTAGAGATAAAATTTCAAGTGAAATTGGTTCAAGGATTTAGATTTAGGGTAACTTTTATATTAATGTTTTCTCGCTGAAATCACCGCCTTTTATTCAACTTGTTGCTTTACACCCTCGAATATGCCCAACACGTCGTTATTTATACTTTATTGTTGAACATAAACGAGTTCATAAAATCGAATGTAAATTTTTTTAGATTAAATATGTTATGTAGATATGGATTTAGGTTGAAAGTTGAAATGTGGGTTGACATAACAGAAATATATTTTGATTACAACATTATTTAATTCTCCTAAATGTCTACAATACTGAGGAGGTTTCAATGCAGTAGAAAATGATCTTAAAGTTATTTTTATTTTCTGGTCTCTAAGCTGGCATACCCCTTTAAGGTTAAATTCGATTTTAAACCATGACAAGTTCAATAAAAATCATCTGTCAAGGTTTAAAATATTTAGCCTGACGAGTAAATTAACCAACAGATTTAACATTAGGAGTTTTAAAAGAAGCCCAAGTAGTGTTCTGATCAGAAATAGTGTTATGACATTCTGCCAAAGGTTTTAAAACATTTATTTGTTCCGAAAATTTCCATTCAGTTTCAGGTTCCATTTATCAGGAGTTTAAGAGAAATTAAGTTCAAAAGAAACCCAATTAGAGTCATATTGCTCACACTCATGAGAGAGCATATCATGTACAAGTTCTTCAAAGACCTCTTGAAGTATAACCGCTCATCTCAGTATTGTATTAGCATAAATCTTTAACCTTAATAACCAAAAAGAGAATTATGGTTAGTGAGCCCAAGCATCAACTAAAACACTAAACTATCACCATTTTTATCACCTAGGTGTAACAAAACCTCAGGCGTTACTATGCAATTAAAATAGTCGAAATAGAGGAAGAAAACAAAGAATTGAAGCCGAAATTAGCACAGCTGCCACATTAATTTTTCGAGGGATTGGTTATCGAGAAAATAAAAGGAGAAAAGTTAGAAACTTCCGATATCACGGAAGTGTGCTTAAGACACGTCAAACTTTTTTATGATTACAACGAATCAGGATTTTTAACATGAGTTCAGGTTTTTCAGGTCGGCATAAATATTTTATCAACAATTCAGCTCAGACTAAATCTTGCGTTACACAATTGGTCTGGGCTCTGATAAGACCACAAAGACCTTGGGTTCTATTTATTATTTTATAGTTCATAGTTTTCATTACTTATCCATAATTATTAATTGATATAGTTACTTAACAAAAAGGCTAAAGTAGATTTTGTTTGTTGATTTTGCAGTAATAAGATCTTATCGTAATCTAATTCCCATCCGACTAATCCAGTATGTTTGAATACAGCGCAATTTCACCAACACATTCATTCATGCAGTTAGCATGATACAGTATTTATCATTGCTAGTATCTGAGAATCTATTAGAGAGAGTTAACAGTTAATAGAGTTAAGTAATATTTATATAATCAAAATTATAAGAATAGGCGTCCTATATTAATACAACAAATTTGAGCTACTCAGATTAGAAATACTACGTCTAGTAATTAAGATAATTCGAAGATTAGTTCATTAGTTGTTCACCTGCTCAATTATTAATGTTGGTTGCTCAAACTAATTTAATCAAAAGTGCAAACTGTTCGTTAGGTACGTGGCCTGAATCGGAAATCCTTCGTTATAAATTCTCAACAAATTTGTAAACTTTACTTAAACATTAAAGATATTTAATTATGTATTAATACAATCCCATATTTTGAAAAGTTAGTACAAATTTTACATAAAATCAGAAACACGACGTTATTAATATTGTTTACACGAGTCGATGGTTGGATTTCATTTAAAAAAAAAACAATATATAGCTCGAATTGGAATTGTTATTTTACTTGAAACATCAAACGGCCTATTATGGACAAACGTACGTATATTTTTTGTCATTGTTACAGTACTCGCTATTCTGTTCAACATTTTTCGTTGTTTTTTTATTTTTTTATATTATAGTTTTGAATAACAGGAAAAAGCATTTATGTCCAAAATTGAAATAAAACTTTCAATATAGATACTCACGACCGCTACAATTTGTTTATTAACAGAAGTGATCAAGATTTTGTTTTATTTTATATTGTCGAGATGTTTACATTGCAACATCCCCATGAATGCATTTGACTGTTTTCGCTTTGTATAGACTTTAAAAATGTATATTCGATGTAAATGAAAAGTTGAATGAAATGTGTGTTGGAAGCTGGTATTGATACGATACAATAAACGTATTCACTCGTTTACTGGATATTTCGAATTACTAGAGTAAACCTTTACGAATTTCTATTATTTGTTCAATCTACCACCAAATGCACTCGTTACGTTTTTAACGATTGTAAATAACTGACTCACTATGTGCAATCTATTTTCCAGACATTAACCATTTCACATTTTCCATCAATGTAATATATAGAATAATATTTTACTTTGAATGTCTGAAGAAAAATAAAAAGATAAAGAAATAATAAATTAAAACTGTCTAATGTTACATTTTTTTTTTCAATTCTACGACCGTAACTTGACAAGAGTCTGAAAGGGAAACTCGAGGAATAACTTATCAAATAAGATTAAGCAATGTTTGTCGCGGCATAACGAGTTTCCGCTCGAAATTCAAATGATTTATGGACGAGCCGACGCGTTCCGAGGACAAATATTATTATTTCATTTACACGTCCCTCAGAGAAATTAAATAGACCTTTCCGGTTCGTGTAGCACGCCCCCGAGGATGGTTAAAATCGACATAAACTTCTTTTGTCGCCATCAAAATGGGACTTTGCTGTATAACTTTTAAAGTGGAAAAACCAAATTCGTGAGAAACCAAGTGCAATAACGAGGGTTGTTATTCTCTAGGGGCTATAATATTTTCTCCTATTTTTATTTTGTTGTTTATTTCGTTTTAATAAATATGGAAATGTACCAACTAAACTAATATCGTAATTCCAACATTTTGATAAAACGAGTAAATGTTGTAAAGAGCAATCTTACATAGTGAATTCAATCTCTGACTTGCCAAAGAGGTAGGGGAGAAAAAGAAATCGGATTTAAGCCAGTAAATTTCCCACCGTTCCGTTCCGTCCGTCTTCTATTGCATTTCTTAATCTGCATCGAACTGATTCGGCTTCCTCCTCCAATAATGGAAATAACTCGATCGGCATTCGGACTGCTCCAACTCGTTCGCTTAATATTGAAAACGGTTTAGAATGCGTTAGAAACGTTGGAGACGAAAAGACGTTCCCAGCATAAAACGGCCGCAGACGGCAAATTAGAACGGTAATCTACTTACAGTTCTTGAACTTTATAATGTCATATTGAAAGACACGTGCTTGAATGCCGAGTTAATCTAGAGTTGATTAGCAAATTAAGTTTGAGTCGAACAAAAGTAACTCATCGAGCGTGATTTGAAAGATAATAATAAAAAATATATCGGATAGGTATTTAAAAATAGATTTAAGTTTTTTTAAATTTTATTTTTATCGTACTATGTCGCTTTTAACACAATTTGTCTTGCTAGCTGGAATTGATACTTCAATGTGTCCGGCAATTGAAGCTATCTCATCAATTAAGTTGTCCGATTGTTCCAACTGTTTTCTTTTACTTACACGAACTCTACATCAATTTCTAAAGCAATAATCGTACAAATCAATTGCACGTGTTACTCAATTCAAATTATTAGTACGGTTATTTATACAGGTAATTTTAGTTGTTATGTTTTAATCTTGAGACTTAACGGCTTAAGTTTCATGTCAATTGTGTTGATAGCTGTGGCAATATTGGTAGATATACACAAATAAACAGATAATCCACAAATAATCCTTCATACGTGCAAAAGCCGCTTCAAAATTACTTTAGTACAATTTCGTAATTTTATTGAAAAATGGAGGTTTCGCAACCCATTCGCAAGTGAACTATTAGATCAAGTATAAAAGACAAGTCATTAAGTGAAATAGCTAAAATTATTAGGTAGATCAAGAAATTGAGTGGAGTTCATAAACATAATAAGATAACTATGACATGATGTACCTGAACCAGTCAGAAATGTGTTATGAAAACAAGGTTTGTATTGAAGTGTAACTTAAAAATGCATGGAAACTTTTTGGAATAAGATAAATTTTACATTGTGTATGATATAGGTCCGAACCTAGACTGCCATTAATGGTAATGTAATCTATACATGAACTTATGTTTGTTTTCTTAGGGGACGTTTTC